GCGTGAAACTTTTGCGTTTTCATGCAATGCCGTTGCCGTGGCGACGCATCTTCGCCGTGACACGGGAAGGACTTTTTGACAGCTCAGGAATGCTCATAAACTCACCAGAATTGGCACACGAGTCACTATTGCCACAACGACAGATAATCTGTCGGTCTGACAAAATAGCTCTATAGAGCCCTCTGCAATAATTTATCCATTAGCCCCCGCAGGACGTTTTACCTACATCTACGAAATTTGTTAGGCATACGTAACACGCCAGGACACACAAAAAAGCCTCTTGGACCCGTAACGTGAACTCAACAGGAAGGCTGCCATTTTTAATTAACTGTGATATTTCATGATTTTGGTCATATTCAAGAGCGAACTCCTCCTAGGTGTTAACTCCTACACGCCTCAAATTTGGCCAGCGCATACAACAGGGTTTGATTATTCAAAGTTTTCAAAAGTCAAAGGGCGTGGCAATGGCAGCCCTCTGAATTGTGATCATTTGCCATCAAAAAGGAAGTGTATCAGACAACTGAGCACATTCTCTGATCTGCCTCAAACTTCACATACTTGATCACTGTCCTGCCCTGATGAAACCCATATGCCAATATCCATTCACGGTCATAGCGCCACCTGCTGGCAACAGGAAAGAACATGTCTTACACTTTCATGTGCTATTATTAGCAGGGCCGCAGCTAGGAATTCTGGGCCCCCAGAAAGAATATCGTCATGGGCCCCTCCACCCCAAGACTGTTGCCACTTTTTTTTTTTGGCATTGCATTGCACCTGTGTTGTGCATTATGTTTTTCAGTGTTTTTGTCAGTGCCTGATGTAATGCACGTAATGTGTTTTCTGTTTTACAAAGTGGTAGTATAAGTATTATGCATTAGTTGTCTAATTTCTGATTCACACGCTATAGTGCTGATAACTCATTAAAACCATGTTATTATACTTCTGATTGCAAGTACATTTATAATTAACCACTCAATAAATAGATAGTAGGTATTTTATTGTCAACAATCAAGCACTGATGTGCATAAACAACAACAACCAAAAAAGAAAACTCAAAGTGTCCTGGCTCAAGATTCTCAGTTGTGAGACTGAAATCCCCAAGGAAGATGCCTCATTTAGCATTTAACTATTTGAATATTTATTGATGAAACAGACAGCAAATATACTTTTTTGTGGAAAAAAATGGGGTAAAAAAAGAAGTCTTATCTGAACTTAAGTTAAAGTTGACATGTTTGTTTGCAGCTTAACCTGCCTCTTACTGAGCAGAACTTGAACGCGTCACAACACAATTCAATACAGCCTCGTCATAACATAAAGTCCCGAGTGAATGCTGGAGCGTTTGAGCACTGTCCTCCTGCTGTTGTGGCTTGTGTTAGTTCATCAGCTCTTCCAGCTTTCAGTCCCCGCCGACCTACACAATTAAATCATCTATTTCAGGGGTGTCAAACTCTGGCCCGCGGGCCAAATTTGGCCCTCTTTGTAATTATATTTGGCCCGCGAGACAATACCAAATGACTGCGAGAGCTGCCCCCGGTATTATACTGTACTGTATACTGTCTGGGCCCCTGCTCTGATGTTCCTATTCCTGGCCTCTCTCTCCACTCGTTTCTGGTGTCCAGATTTTTGTTTTTTGACGCCGGGCATCATCTTCCTCCTCAAATGCGGGACTTTGCTCGTCGCGCACATACTATATTCCAACGAAGAAGAACGAACCGTGGACTAAACCATTTTGGAGGAGAGGTGGTAATTGAAATGATTAAAAGTAAAATATTATGCGACTTTGGTTGAGCTCACATGCATTAGTAATATTATATATATATATATACATGATCATTTTGTCATAGAGCCTACTGGGGAGCGTATGGGCCCTAATGGGCTGTGGGCCCCTAGGATCGTTCCCACCTTTCCCCCCAAACCGACGGCGCTGATTATTAGTCGGTTGACCATATTAACCTCAAATGCGGTGACATGAGCATTTAGATGTTGATGATGACTCACGGTGAAAATCGTGAGCCTTGGTCAAACGGCGTGTCCGTGGCGGCCCTCTGAACTTTAATACTTCGCCATGAAAGAGCAAGTGCTGTCCCCCTGCGGCACTCGGCCTCAAGCTTTACATGTTGGATCAGAGTCCTGCCCTGATGACATTCTAATGCCAACATCCACTCACAGTGTCACCTTCTGGAAACGGGAAAGTACACATTTTACATTTGTATTTGCTATGAATAGCCGGTTAATCATATTAACCTCAAATGTGGTTCAAGTTATGATTAGGTGATTTGTCCAGTGACAAATCACCTAATCATGTCTTCCACAACCCTGACATGGACCACATCTTTAAACAGAAAATTGGCTGTTGCAAGTGATTTATTTATTTTTTTTAAAACGCTAGGTGGCAAGTCACACATGCATGAGTAATCAGAGAAAATAATGTCACCACAGAGTAAAGCACCTTGAATGAACATGATTTTTTACTATGAAAGATGTTATCAGTCTGATTTGTACTCCTACAAGGGGGTGTGTAGGTTTTTCACAGGGAAGCCCCAAAACTCAAAAAGAATCCTGAACCTGTGTGGATTTTCCTGTGACCGAGTGGGCAGAGGAAACTGTGAAGCTGATCTTTATCTCAGGAGTCTAATAAAAGTACTCCTCGAAAGATGGATCTCAGAAAGTTTCGCATCAGAGCCTGCTGTTGATCAAAAGCCTCCAGTTGTCATGGATTTTCGTGCTGGTAAGCATCTTCTTGAAGTGCGGCTCAAAGTCCCGCAGCTCGGTTTCGTGCGGCTGGAGTTGCGCAACATTGAAACTCTGCAGCGGTGGCTGCAGCTCAGATGTCTCAGATTGTCTGTGTGTGTGTGTGTGTGTGTTATCATTTAACTCATCTCCACTTTTGCTCTTTCATGTACAGTCCTCATCTTCCTGTGCCTGCACATTGCACATGCATCCTGCAGTCCTGTCATCGGAGACAGAACCAGGGCCATGAACGACGCCATCCAGGACATACGGCAGAACGTAAAGAGCGCGTTGGACAAACTGGTGAGGGTTTTGATGCTTCGTGGTGGAGGGATGAAATGTTTTCTCAGTGATTCGGTTTACGTTCATTAAGATATTGTGCCTTAAAAAAAAAAAAAAAAGCTCTATGGTTGCTCAATACATGGCATCAGAGAATTGTAGGAAGATTAGTGTTGGAGCGCATTTGTTCACTTTTGATGTTTGCGCAATTTTCACATATTCTGAGGAGAAAGGCTGTGCAGGGCCTCCGATTGGCCCACAGTAGGTCCGCTGCAAACCAGGTTCATTATTTCCTCATCCAGAAACTAGCCAGTGCTCCAGAACAGAAATCATTTCTTCATTGACATACAACTGATGCATCCATTTAGATTATTGATCAATTCATTTCTAAGCAAAAATCTCCCATAAAAAGTGGATATCTGCTAATTCTCCAGTTTTCTATGGTGCAGTAAGCTCAAGATATTTTTTTTTATTTTTTTTTTGCGTTTTTGGCAGTTAAACAATTTTAATATGGGCATTTTCACTGTTTCTGACATTTTTCAAAAGCAATAGACTGTCGCCTATCCAACAGTCTACCATAATCTAAAGCTATTTAAGAAATACAATTATTGTTAGATGTATTAAAACTGATAAAGACCATTGCTTACCCAAAAATCTACAATAATTCGTCATTAGTGATGACATTTTAAAACAATGTCAAAAGTACTAAATTTAATAAATGATCAGTTGTTGCTTGTCCAATGATTTTCATCGTTATTCTTTAGTTATTTCATGAAATAAAAATGATTATTAGATGTATTAAAACTGAAAATTAATCAATTAATGCTTGTAAACAAGGAAAATAGTATTACTTATCCAATAATCTATTATTTAGTTAAATAAAATCTATGATGTATTATCATGAAAGATAGGAAGACTGAAAAAATAATAGATTATTGCTTGTCCAATAATCTACAATAATCTTTAGTTTTTAATAAAATAAAATTGTCACATAATAAAACAGAAAAATGTAAAATAAATAAATAAATAAATTTGATTATAATGAAACTGATTATTGCTTGTGTAGTAATCTACAATATTTATTTTAAAAAAAAACCCTTAATCAGATTATTTAAAACGTGAAAGATAATGAATTATTGATTGTCCAATAATCTATAAACATCTATAATCACTTTATTAAATGAAATCATTCTTAGCTGTATTAAACTGGAAAGTAATCGTTGGCTTCAGCATTACTTTTGTCCTGTGATGGAACAATGTAGTCATGCCTGAAGTTTTGTGTGTGTGTGTGTGTGTGTGTGTGTGTGTTATTTGGACGACACAGAAATAACGAACACAACTTTACAACAAAGGAGTTCAATGTAAATTTGAACAAGCAGGCTTCAATACTCCAGTTTTTGTACTGACTCACCAACTAAAGCGAGTCATTCTCTTCCAGCCTACACCTGAACAGCTTGCAAACATCTCCTGCCCCTCCCTGAATGCCACAGAGCTGCTTGGACCGGAGCAGCAGCAGCTCCAACGTCAGCTTCCCTCCATCAGATGCTACTTGGTAAAGCTCGCCGAGCGCATCCCCCAGCTGTCAGAGCTGCTGAGCACAACCAGCCAGCAAATCCAGGATGTGGAGACACCTGACCAGACGGTTGAGAAGAACTGCAGCCTGCCCGTCTTCAACAAGACCGTGGACCGTTTTAGACATGCCAAGTGTCTGCTGCACATCCTGGATGAACGGCTCAGCACAGCAAAGTTTGCATGACTGACTAGTACGAATGTATTTATTTTAAACAGCCTTAAATTATTTAGATAAAATTTTTTAATGGTTTTGAGTGATTGACAAAGCAAGCTTGTACTGCTGAAAGTTATTTAATAGTTCTGATCCACTTATCAGCATCTGATAAGCAGGCAATATTTATATAAAACTTAATATTTATTGAAAAATAAAGCTGGAAGAAGTCAAGATTTTTCTTTTTTCTTGTGTTTATTGTGATTCAGAATCATTTAAGGCATTTTAAAATATACATGTTGCATGTAGACATTTTACAAAGAAAACAAAAAAACACTAAAATGCAGCATAAGAAAATATCTTTTCTTAAAACAAATAAAATACTAAATGTGGGAAGAACTAACATGGGCAGATCCAATCTGCAATGATACACTGTACATCATCCGGTATAAAATCCCCTCATAAAAACAGCAAATAACAGCTGGAAATCCAACCTGGTATGACAAACATTTAAAAGCACTGAATGAAAGAGGAAGAAAACCAAATGAAATCATCACACAAACGCTAAGCTTAAGGTGAACATAGGGGCCTTTTTGTGCTGTCATTCTTTGAAGTAGAGAAAATTCTTTAAAAAACAAAAAGTCAAAAAGGGAAATTTTATCACTTGCAATCATGACAACCATAGCTGCATTCATTGGTGCATTTGAACTTTTTGTATAAATTATTTTGGGGTACACGTGAGCTCTTCATGTGTGTTTTGCAACACTAAATAGTTGTGCATTGAAAAAGTGTTGAATTTTGATCACTGCTACCACCATCTATACACCGACAGGCAAATTAGCCTGAAAGCAAGAAAAATCTCTCATTTAAAAGACACTCATCCACATTCACAAGAAAAGACTGCACGCAAAAAGCTGCACGTCCATCAAAGTGGTGCATTGTGCTACCGTAAACTCAGTTGTTCTGCACAAAAAGAAAGCAAAAATACATATAAAAAAAAAAATCCATGTCTGCCTGAGGAGTGCTGAACCACAAAAAAAACAAAACAAAGAAAAGACAAATCAGCACAGTTAAGGACACTTTGACCTTACAGCTGACATGCTAACTACATCTGCATCGTGTCTAATTCTCACGCCGTCAACAGAGCACAGTTCTCCGTTAACCATAATGTCAGTAACACAACAAATGACCTGTGCGGATGGGTAAACTGCTCTTTGATATGGCTTCTTATGAGTTTCTGTGTGCTGTCTTCATGTGACAGACTGATTGTTTTCTTCTGTCGTTAACACGTTATAAATTAGTGTAACCATGAGAAGAAGAAAAAAAAAATTAAACCACGTGACATAACCTGTACCCTTGTAGTCAACAAGCATTCCTGCAGAGAAGGATCCTGACTTGATTTGTTCAGATGAATGGAAAAAAAAAACATTACGCACACAAGCGTAGCCCTGAGTCACTGACGAAGACCAGAAAAGACCCCTACTGCGCAAAAATCTTTTAACACTGTACATGTGAATATAAATATATTGTGTACTGCTATTTCACTATGCTCCCTATGAGGGCTGTAAGTAGTATTGCTCCACTGTGCTGTGACCTGCGCAGTAGTATCCATGTGTGTAACATGTTAAAGATGACTACTACTGCTGCTGCTGCTGCTGCTGCTGTGTGTAAATTGCAGTTGAAATCACTACAAATGGACACAGTGAGCAAAAGTATGAAGGCAGAAGTTCGGCATGGACGGAAAACCACCAGAAAACCATGCCCGTTAACTGGCAAAATAACTTTCACCTGAGTAATTTAGGGATGGAAAATACAACCAAACTCGCATCCTCCTGGTACTGATTAGGCGCTGACCGGCCCACGAGCCATCAGCTTCGCCATGTTTCAGTCGATGCTCTACAATCTGCTGTGAAGTCTTTCTGGAAGGTTTTCAAGCCTCCTAAAACCATAAACTACGCTAAGAGCAAGTCCTACAAAATCCACATTAATCTCATCTCTTGATGGAAAAAACAAAAGCGTCATATCCAGACATTTATACATCTGAGCAAGAGCACAAAATTAACATTCATTTATTATTTCCCTTTTGAACACATTGTTGCTTTTGCAATAAAAATGTCATTTACTTTAAATATAAATTGTTGTTCACGAAATAAACCACAAGTACCAGCATCCAATAAAGTACGAAGAAGATTGTCACCTCAAGCAGGTGAAAGTAGTAGTTATTTTAAACACAATGTAATAAAAGCCTTTTTTTTTTTTGCAAAATTGTTGAGGTCCTTTCATGCATCATTCCCAACTTTCAATGTACAACAGAGCAAAATCTCTCCCTGCCTTACATTCAGAGGGAACACAAGCCTGACATAGTTTGGATTTATCGTTGTGACCTTGCTCAACAGCTATAAGAACAACTAGTGATATGCCTTTGTTGATGGTTTATGCTAAAGAGGGGCAGGTGGCTTTAGGGGTCACCTCAATTCCTCTGAGAGAAAGACGAAGCATCTGTGCGTGTGGCAGCCTGGACAGCTTCTTCAGGAAGCAGCGATGGATCGGTGAGGATGGACGTAGTTGTGCTCAGCTGGCGAAGAGTACTCAGCACCACTGAAAAACAGGAAAGCGCGCTTTAGTAACCACAACTTGACTATAAAATGGGTTATTTTGATGTTAAGTACTTGAACACTTGGGTCACAGCTAAATATAACATTTCTGATGATTCAGTGGGAATCAAAGTTCGCGGTCCAATAGAATACTGGCATAATCAAGGGTGATATTTAAAAAAAAAAAGAGTGGGGATTTTTGGAGGGAAGGCAAGTTTGAAGAGCACGAAACGCCACCAACACATGTCGTATATGGAACAAATGACTGTTAGACCAACATGGTTCAGCTTGTGGCCTTCATAAGATAACGGTTTTTTTTGCTTTATTGGGGCAGAGAAAGACAGGAAAGTAGGGGGAGAAGAATGGGGGAAGGACCTGCAGCAAAGGGCCATGAGCGGGACTCGAACCCACAACCACTGCGTCTGGGCCATGGGACGCCAGCTCAACTAGGTGAGCTATAGTGGCGCCCATAACGTAAGACTTTATCACTCATTAAGCATACCAGAAACAACATTGTACTGTTCATGGTATGTAGTGCTATAAATACTACAGACGTTGCGGGACAGTCAGTGAAAGAAAACAAGCAGCAGAAGAGCTATTAACATGTATTTAATATTTCATTAGCTTAAATCTGCATTAACATCCAGCAGAAGAGGGTGTCTAACATGAACAATTGTGTGAAGTCTTGTTTCTGCTATTGAAAGTTGACAGCAAAGGTGTTTGTTTCTAAAAATAAAAGGAAAAAAAAAACTTCTTCTACTTCAGTACTGAAAGTGGGTTTGATAAAAATCGACAACCGAAAGAGTAAAACTGTGGGATCTGATGTAAAATGCAAAACCACAGAACAAGCAGCAGAAAGACTAAAACTCTCAGTAAAGTTGAGGGACAGGGCACATCCTCTGAGGCTGAACTACACCCTTCACATCACTCATTTTTTCTTTACATGTATGGAATTACTAACATGTGCAACTTCAATTCTAAGAAAAATATTTCTTTCAGCCATTAAAACTATTTTTCAATTCTAACCGTCATTGTCATTGTCGAGGTACTGTTGTATAATGTGTGTGATGCTGTGAATTGTTCATACTGAAACATGGCACAAAACTATGGAACACAAATAAAAAGTATTACTGATAAAACGCACATTTTTTGAGTGATCAGCAAAGCAGCTGACCTTCAGCCTGATTTTGTTGCACAATTTCCTTCGGAAACAACATTTTAGGTTCATTGCTTCCAAGGAAACTGTGGACAAATTCGTCATTTACCTTTTCCATGACCGTTTCATTTAACCTCAGTTTATCAGAACGCACGAGAAAAGTGACTTAGGGTATTTTTTTTTTAAACTAATGATTTGCCTACAAGACAGAGATAGGAATCACAAAATTTTAAGGGAGAGCCCCACGACACATGGAATTAAGAAGCGGGAGTGATAACCTTAATTCTTTGACAACTTTCTGCAGCTGCACAGCCTCCAGCAACCTGCTAAAACTATGAGTAATGATAAACCTCATTTGACGTCACTTTGCATTATCAGATCCTGGAAGTGAAATTGCCAATGTCAGCAACTAAAGCACAATGTTCAGATCGAGTGGGAGATAAAAATAAATAAATAAAACACTACCAGAAAATGTGATAATCACTGCTTCTAGGATTTCATGTATTTTTATTAAAAAATGAGAAGCACTGTTAAATTTCTTGTCATGTCTTGTTTGCTTGCTGACTGAAGAAAGGCAGGAAATTACAGAGACGGTGAGATAAGACGCAGATCATCTCAAGTAAATGAATTACAGATAGTAGCGATCAAACACTCTGCAGCTGGAAAGAAGTCCTCTCCCATGATTGCTGATTCATTTAGCTGCCAACTGATTAGGTGAGATCGTGTGTGTTAAAGAGAAGAAGTGTTTTTACTTACTGGGTCTGAGCACCGGAAGCGAGCAGTGACGATCGAGCCACTGCAGCGTAGTCTGACACAGCTCTGCTCTGCTTGTAGTTGACACCATCCCATTGAAAGACTCAAAGAGCGGCTTGATAATGATGCTGAACTAGAAAACATGATGGTCAAGGATCAAGTATATTGCAGACTGGGACAAATGCAGCTCTGCCTGACCAGCTGTAGGAGAGCCAAACTCAAATCTGTGCTTTTGTAGCTTCTGTTCTCCTGTTTCACTCCACATTTAGTAGTTTGTCTTTCATTTAAAAGTATGCAACTATTAAACTTGCTTCTTGATCATTCAGGTATAACTTAAGGGAGACGTTTAGAGATAAAAGCAGTTGTCAAAACATAATCTTTGCACTGTTTCGGTATAACGAGTGCACTGCATGGTGTATGTAGTTCCTCCAATCTCCATCATTAGTGAACTAGAGAAGAGCTGCTGTCTATCCTTTCTTAATTTTCCTCAAGACCCGATGAAAACATTTTGAAATTATACAGTTGTGCAACCATTTCTATCTTCTCCTAAACATAAAAGCATCCCACATCAAAGTGAAATTTTCACACAATACCAAGCAGCAACCAGAGTCAGAAGCTCTTTCATTGCAGGATACAATCCAGAAGTTCCAGTTCTGTAGAGTGCGGCTCTTGACATATTCATTAAACTTTTCCTGCATGTGGTCGAAGCGATGCCGCCTCACTGGTACCCCCGTCGCAGGCAGCTGCTCCTGACACACGCTGTTGAGAAGCAGTGAGGGAAGGCAGAAAGGGTTGATTTGTTACATGTCTGTCCAGCGTATGTACATCATACGTTGGGTGACATACATAAGATGCTTTAACATACTTAATGGAAGTGTTGAGCTCCTCTATCTCCTCTCGTAGTCTCTTGACCTCTTCTTGCATCGCCTGCCTCTCCTGCTGGAGCTTCCCGATATACTCCACTGTCTTCTGCAACGTGACTGCATTACTGATCTAAGTGCATAAGACAAGGCAAGACAGGTTTATTTATAGAGCACAATCCATGCATAAATCAAAGTGCTTTATAATGGCAAAGAAATGAATTACAAAGATGA